AATTGGAAGTTCTAAGAAGAGAGGAATTTAATAGTTCCCTTAAAATATTGAAGATGGGGGTTGATTCCAACAATCCCATTGAAACTGGTCTCAAGATAATGGAACCAATAAAGAATATAAATAAAACCACATATGGTATGGCGCTAGAACTTCTTTATAGATATCCAGAGCTTTTCAATGATCAAGTTTAATGACCATGTAAAAATACACTACATTGAACCAAAATGTTCATGTAGGACCAGATATTGGGAATTTGTGGCCGTCGACAGAGCAAGATTCCAAAAAAGAATCGAAGAAACTGCTAAAATTATTAATCCTGTATTAGAAAAAAAAATAAAATACATATTTAAAAAAAGTTTTTTATTTTAGTATTATATAACATTATTTTTATTAATCCATGAATTATGTGAAGTATCCATTCCAAGCCATTTTACAAACACTTTATTTCCCTTTCTCCTTAACACTTTTTCAACTAAATAGATATCGGGAAATTGTGCCTTTTGCAATTCTTCAGTATAGAAACCACCTCTAATTTCTTCTTTTTTGATGTCTTCCAAAATGTATGTAGTTGGATTTGTATATTTAACTTTTTTAATTGTAAACATTTCATTGGTCCAATTGGGAGTATATCCTTTTTTAAAAACACTACGATATTTACTTATTCGAACATGATCTCCAACTTTAAATTTAGGTTTGCGTTTATCAATGGTTTTTAAGTAGTTAAATGCAATAATATACTTGGCGTTTCTCTGATTAACTTTGCTAGGAATAGCACCCGTTGTAGAATGTCTCGAATTATTGTATGTATTCACAATGTCAGGAAGTATTTTCACCCACTTATATGAACCCTGTAAACTGAATTGTTTCCACAATAAAGACTTTAAAGTTCTTATGGCTCTCTCGGCGATGCTTGCTTTTAAATTTGAAAAACTGCTATAATGGTTAATTTCATGTTTTTTCATTAATTGATTGAACTCCTTATTATAAAATTCTGTTCCATTGTCCGTCTGAAGATTTTTAGGCGGGGGCATTTTATTCAAAATACTTTTCATAGCAAAAACAATTTCTTTACCAGTTTTTGTTTTTAAAGGTAGTGCCCACACAAATTTACTGAATGCATTAATGACTACAAGAATATAGTTATAACCACCATTTTCTTTGGAAAACTGCGACATAATAGCCAAATCGGCTTGAATTAAATCGTTTAAACTTTTCACGATTACATGACGTCTTTGATAATTTATTCGAGCTGGTTTATGAAGTTCTTCAACAACTCGCAATTTAGACATTTTTAACTAGGGGGCACTGTAGTACTATTTCAATGCAGATGGAAGCAGGTTTACCAAGTTTTAATTTAATAACGTCCCCTTTTATAATGTTTATATTAGCTAATTCATGAAATTTGTAATTAATCTGATTTAGTAAGACATCACCATCAGCTTTGTAATGAGCAACATTATCAATTTTACCTGATAAAGGAAACTTAAAAGCAATACCACCATTATCCAACACGTAATATTCTTTATTCAAGCTCGTTTTTTTCTCTCCCTTCAAACGAAGCAGACACTTGACATGATAGTCAAAAGACTCACAAAAATAAAACGGAGCATTTAATTGTGGGGATGAAACAACCTCACCATCACTACTAGAGAGGTAGTGTTGATTAAACTTGTTGAGAGGCATTATTAAAATGATGTTAAAAACAGGAATCTTCTTTATTTATCTTTTTCCAAAGGACATTGAATTATAAATTCAACAAAAAGTTCATCTGAAGTAGAATTTATATAAAATTGAAGTATGTCACCCTTATTTATAATATTTGAATTTAATATCTTTTCTATATTATCGCTTTCTGTTTTATATAAAACATTAAGGTTGGTTGGATGACATTGAATATTTTCAACTTTACCGGTGATTGGCATTTTATATTTACTAGTATTATTATCTAGTCGATAGAAACCATCGTGACCTTTATGCCCATGAATAGTAAGTACACATTTACTATGATATTTAGAAGGTTGACAAATATAAAATGATGATGTTGGGATAGATGAAACAATTTCATCAGAAGATGTAGATGATAAGTAATGCTGATTGAACTTGTTGAGAGGCATGTTTTAAAATGAATGTTAGTTTACATTAATATGTATTTATAAGATTATTGAGCCTTCCCGTAGTTCTTCTATGATCGAAACTATTTCGTTGTGGTGTGCATTATTACCAGCCATTTGAGATGCCATAAGCAAGCGTAGTCTATCAACCAACTCGTTAAAATTATCAAAATATTTGTATTCCACTTTTTTGTTATTAAAATCCATTAAACCTTCTCCATGTTTTTCCATGAGGTTTGTTTTAGAAGTTGTACTTCTTAAATTACGTTTTGGTGTTTCCAGAATTGTTGACTGCTGTTTTTCAGATGTTCTTTTTTTAATTATAGGTTTAATAATTTCTACAAACTTTTTAGCATTTGAAGTCGATAAACCCTTTGACGGATCATAGCCCAAAAACTGTGCGTTGCTCTTCTTAATAATATTTATATAAGTAACTAAATCCTGTGGTGTAAATTCTATAGGATTTTGCTTAAAAAGTAATTCGTAAAGGCCTTTAGTTCCTTTATATTCTTTTTCTTTGACTTCTACGTTGCCACTATCTTTGAATATTATAGGCGAGTCACCAATAGCCCAATCACGAAATTCAGGACTAAAATAAACACCAAATGTATTGTCATAAGCATTTTCTGTATCACTAATTTTTCCTTCTATATATTCTCTAATTGAAGGATGAAACTTGTTTAAATACAAGTTTGGTAACTCATTGATGGTGGAAATTTCATTTAAATCAGATTCGTTTTCAGGTTCATATTCGTGAAACTCTGTTTGAGCGCTTAAATTTGGAAAAATCTTAGAGTATTTTGATTGGGGGGTGCTGGGGCTTTCAACTTTTAATTCCTTTTTGATAATTGGAGGTTTTGCCTTAGAAAATAATTCTTGGATAGGATTTACTAGTGGTTCTAACTGTTCTCGATATTGTTTCTGGGTCTTTTGTCTTTGTTGCTTATAAAGTTTAAATTTTCTTTTAATAGCTTGTCGAGAATGAAGAAGTTCTTTTCCCAATTGTAACATTGTAACTAATATATTTTGTATTATCACGGCTTTATATATGAATCGAATCCTTTTCGATATCTTCCAGAGGACAAATCACAGTCTTTATCGATTACCAGAAAACCAAATTTATCGTTCCAACAAGAAGCACCGATATCTTTGAACTGTTGGAAACTCATATCGATTATATGATCATCATAAATATGTTTCAAATTAGTTATGTCTTGTACAAAAATAATTAAAAGGTTGGTATTATCTCGGACGAGCTGTTTTGGAATGGTTGAATAGGTTTGACATATATAAAAACAATCTGTATTTTTATGTCTTCCAAAACTGAAGTAATTTTTGATAATGTTTTGATCACAAGATGTTACATCATCAAATATAATAGTTGAATTATTTTTAATGCGTTCAGGGGGAGGTATGTTCTCACTTTTATCGTATTCATAATAACCAATTTCTCGAATAGGTTCCAGCAAAGCACGTAAATATTGATATTTGGGCTGTTGTAAGGATTTTGAATATAGGTAGACATTTTCAAATCTTAAACCATTTGGGTGTTCTAGAAGAGTGAGCATGACATTAGTTTTTCCTGATCCGCTAGGACCAACAATAAGTCCTCTCTTTACATCTCCGCCAAAAATGTTATGTTTTGTGGAAGTCTGACTTGTAATGTCATAATTTTTTACAGGTAATGAAGTTTTCTGTTTTTCAATCTTCATTATGGGTATGTTATTTCTAAACTGAAGGTATATTAGAGTTACAAACATATATAAAGGGTGAGGTATATATAAATAGCTTAATGTCGAAACGTAAGCGAATTAGTTCACTTCGAAGAGGAAGAGGAATAGTAAATTCTTTAATAAATAACCTCCCGATTGAAGCACATATTCCAGGCTATCAGTATTGTGGTCCTGGAACTCAACTTGATAAGAGATTACAAAGAGGTGATAAAGGTGTTAACCAATTAGACGCAGCCTGCAAAGAACACGACATTGCTTATTCCCAAACTAGAAAACTTGGTGAAAGACATAGTGCTGATAAAATTTTAGAAAATAAAGCCTGGGAGAGAGTTAAAGCAAAAGACGCAAGGTTAGGTGAAAAGGTTGCGGCTTGGTTAGTTACCACAGGAATGAAAGCAAAACGTAAACTTGGAATGGGTATGAAATCGAAGAAAGTTAAACGAAAATTTAAAAAAGGTGGAAAGAAAAAACGAGTTATTCCCACCCCCAGAAAAGGTGGTTTTTTACCATTTCTTTTACCTCTATTAGGAGCGCTTGGAGCCGTTGGTGGAGGTGCTGCTGGAATAGCGAAAGCAGTAAATGATGCCAAAGCTAACCGTCAACAGTTGGCTGAACAACAAAGACATAATTTAGCATTAGAACAAGCTGCAAAAACAGGAAAAGGATTTTATTTAAGACCATATAAAGGGTATGGGATGAAAAAACAACGTAAAGGAATGGGGTTTTATTTAAAACCGTATTCAAAAAACTCCCGTTAAAATTACCTCATAAGATAATGACTAACATTGATCTAGACAAATATGCGCGTTTATTAAAAATTCCTCATTTTCGCGGTGTTTACATGCGTGATTCTCTACCACTTAAAATTAGACTAAATGAGTCTGGTATAATTAATCTTGATAGTAAAGAAAAACAAGGAACCCATTGGGTTGCATACATTAAAGAGCATAACACAGTTACATATTTTGATAGTTATGGAAATTTGCCACCTCCAAAAGAGTTAGTACAATACTTTAAAAGTAGAGGTTCAGTTAAAATTAGATATAATTATGATGTAGTACAAAAATATAATTCCTACCAGTGTGGACAGTACTGTCTTAAATTTTTATATAATCAATATAATAGTAATATATGATTCATTTTGTTTTCAACCATTATGTCGTATACATTTACTTTAAGTGGTAAATCATCTGTTCTAAGCGATGATTTTAATCCACCAATATACTTGGATGATGGTGAGTACGAAATAGGATTAGCAAATTTTGATACGTTTAACAATATACCAAATATTGATGAGAAAAATAATGTCTTGGTCTGGGGTAAAAATAATGAATATCGATATGAGATTCCAATAGGCGCATATGAAATATCGGATATAATAAAAATTATAGAAAGAGAAATGTTTCAAATTGCTATTACAACAACACAAATTACACCTGATGAAAGAACATCGAAAGTAACTATAAAGAGTACAGAATGGATAAATTTTGAAGTTGATCACTCTATAGGAAGTTTATTTGGATTTACTAAAATTAAGCTTGAACCAAATATTATACACTCTTCTGTTTACTCGATAAATATTTTAAAAGTAAACACGATTTGTATCGACGCAAATATTGCCATTGGCTCGTTTTTAAACGGTAATCCAGTGCATATTATACATCAATTTTTTCCCCAAGTACCAAATGGGTATAAAATAGTCGAGCAACCCCTGACAATACTTTATTATCCAATTACCATTAAAACGATAAGCAATATTACCGTTAGAGTTTTAGATCAAGACCTTTCTTTAGTCAATTTTCAAAACGAAACTATTACTGTTCGCCTACATTTACGAAAAAGTGGATAATGGTTTGGTATTTTCATCCAGATAAAAGGAACTACCATAAAGAAACAATTAGTAGAAAAAAAACCATCACACTGCTAACTTCAGAAAACCGAAAATTCTTAATATCACTAGGATTTAAAGTTTTAGTATAATGGAAATTCTTAATGTAACAGGTCTTCCATTTAGTGATAATACGATTGAGGACTATCAATTTCATTCTTACCAACCTTTCACATTTTCCAATTTTAATTATAATGACGAATTAAGAATTCCAATACAAGATTTAGAAGCATATACTTTTCCCAGCAACAGTTACTTATATATCGAGGGTAAAATATTAACTGACCAGAAAAAAGTTCCAACTAAATTTAACTTTATTAATAATGGCATCGCCTATTTGTTCAGAGAATTAAGGTATGAATTAAATGGTGTCACAATAGACTCTGTAAGAAATGTAGGTTTAGTTTCTACCTTGAAAAATTATCTTTCTCTCAATGAAAACGAAAGTAAACTCATGCAAAATGCTGGATGGTGCCCTAAAGATAAAATTCTAATTGATGAAAAGGGTAATTTCAATGTTTCTATCCCCTTAAGGCTCTGGTCAGGGTTTTTCGAGGATTTTAGAAAAATAGTTATGAATATGAGGCAAGAGCTAGTTTTAATTCGCGAAAAAGATGACATTGATGGAGTAATTGCTACAGATGATACGGAAAAACCAAAAATAGACATCATTAAAGTGTGTTGGAATGTTCCACATATAACACCTAGTATCAAAGAACAAATTCGATTAAATAAAATAATTAGAAGTAATGTTGATCTACCTCTAATGTTTAGAAGTTGGGAATTAATTGAATATCCAGCTTTGTCTAATTCAACACGCCATACCTGGCCTGTTAAAACTACTACAAAGATAGAAAGCCCGAGACATATCGTGGTAGCATTCCAAAATGCCCGGAAAGGCAAACTTTTAAAAGATATGAGTAAATTTGATCATCTCAATTTAACAAATATACGTGCTTTTTTGAATTCTGAGCGGTATCCATATCAGGATTTACATCTTAATTTTAATACTGATCGCTTTGCAACTTTATATGAAATGTTTGCCAATTTCCAAGAAAGTTATTATCATATTCAAACAAATCAACCAATATTTACACCAGAAGAATTTAAAAAAAATGCTCCTATAGTCCACATTGACTGCTCACACCAAAAAGAAATTTTGCAGAGTGGGTCAATTGTTCTCAGAATTGAATTTGAAACCGAGAATAATGTAGGTAATGAAGTATCTGCTTACTGCCTGATTTTACATGAGAAAGAATTTTCTTACAATCCACTAACAAAAATTGTTAAACAGATTTAAAGCGCATGTTTAAAACTATAATATAAATTCTCGCTAGATAACATCACTAGTTAGTCTTCAAGATGCATTTAATAGTAGATGTTCAGGGTTTCATCATTGAAAAAAACAAATTTATTTGCAAGGAGTTGGCTACTTTTGATGGAAAAAAAATTACACACAATTTTTTTAAAGCACCTTTCCGTATGCGTTTGCTAAATGAGGAATTCCATAGACAAGCTATATGGTTAATGGCCAATCACCATGGGTTAAATTGGAATCATGGTTTTACACCACTACATGAATTCCATAATATTATCCAGAATGTAACTAAGAATGTGGAAGCAGTTTATGTAAAAGGAAGGGAGAAGGCTCAGTACATTAGAAAATATAGTTTAGCACCAGTGTTCGAAATGGATGAACACCCGGCTCTACCAAAATTACCCCCGAAATGTCCACATCATTTAAGTGAAAACAGCATATGTGCATTATCTAATGTATTTTACTTATATGAAAATTTTATTATGCAATAAATATATCTTTTTAATATTTGTTTTATTTTAGAAATAAAAATCAACTTATAAAATAGTTCTTTATTTTTATCTTAGTACTGACATGCATAAATGACAATTTGATTGTGCTGGTGCTGGTCCATCCACATGGGTTTGCCACTCTGGTCTATTGTAGTGTACAAAACAAGGAAGCCGGGTCCCCACCACAAAATCTGTCGTGGCTTCAATTGGTAATTTATGCCAAGACATCAACAATTCCCAAGGAGTAGCATATTTTCTTAAATATTCAACACTAAAATTCAATAGTTCTTCTTGTGTGAACATATGCAGCGGTTTTTTCGAATGTTGGGCGATTAGGGCACCCTTCGCGCAACACTCCATCTTTGAAACGGTTAATATTTTTAAACACCAGGTCTATCCACTTCTTTTCTTCCTTGCGAGAAATAAAAAATAGTCTCTCTTCTTTGGGTTCATAAACTTTACCACTGCGCAGGCGCATCAGTTAAAGATAGTCTCGAAAAGTTTTTAAACATAAATTTACTTTGGTATTCACTTTGTAATTTTATAATACTCTGCTTCAACTTTTTAATTTTTCTTCTATTTTCGTAAAGAGTTATTTGATGTTTCACCTTTATAATGCCCTGTGTAAACGTTTGGAGTCTTCTACTAAGCACCACCAAACTCATAGTGTTTATTAAAATGAGCTGTTGATGCTATATGTAGTTGCCCCCACTTATTCAGACTTGTCCTGACTTGTCCTGACGTTATGTGCCGGTGGTCTTGAACTCATGGTAGACCAGATGTGCAGGACGCAGATGGCCGGAAACAGGTGACCGCCAGATGGTAGAGTGGATGTCTAGACACCACATGATGATCGTGGTTTTATTTTTATTAATTTCCATGAGTTCTATATAAGAGGGGATATAAATGAAAATCGTTGATAATTTTTAGTTTAGTAATGTCGAGCGAAGACTTCGGTGATCTTTTGGATATACTCTATCCTCCGAATAAGTATAAACTCGAGCGAAAATTGTGTTTGGTTTGTCGTTTAGTGAAATCCCGGATGGTCACAAAAACAGATAAAGAAAAGAACATTTTAGCATTTTGTCCAAAATGCATGCAAATAAGACCGGTTTTCATTACTTATGAAGACTTAGTCGATCCATATAAAGTGTGTAAAATTATATACAAATATAGAAAGTGGCCACCTCTGTTTAGCCTAAGGAAGGAACCACAGCCTATAGGAATTTGTTGTGATTGTGCCAAATCAGACCAAGTGGAAGCCATATACCAAATACCACATAAGTGGCAGGGTGCCTACCATCCAGTAGAATATATATAAAATATTCTGTTCTCTATTTTGAAGTTGTTAACATGGACGACCAAGGCGATGAGGTGGTATTTGACGAAGACACCAACGATAGCGGTATTTCACTAGACTGCTCCGTTATAGACCATAAAGTCGAGGAGAGCAGTGGGTTGCAAAGTCACGAATTTTTAAGACTATCCTCATCAGAGACGCTTTGTGTTACTCAAAATTATGTGCTTTGCGAAAATGTGAAATTGTGCTATGTTTGCTATTATCGAATAGTGACACCATTCCAGGAAAACCTGCTGCACATACATATAACAGAACATTTTAGTATTGAGGGCTTCAATCTTCCTGGGACATGTCATAACTGTTTCGTCTGCGGTGAAAATTTATATACACTCTGTCTGATCAAATATTGTACAACATGTAAAAATTAAGAATATATTATTAAGAAAATAAATTTGTTTTAGTGCAACCATTAATTGCATAACCTCCCCGTTAACGCTATGATAGATTGGTTTTTCTTGGGGATGTTTAGGGGTTGAATAGGGTGAGTAAGAATTTTTGTATATTTTATTCATAATCTATCCTTAGAAACCTTTTCAACGATGTATCACATGTATTTATATCATTAAAAACTACGTATGGGGGATGTTTAGGGGTTGAATAGGGTGAGTAAGAATTTTTGTATATTTTATTCATAATCTATCCTTAGAAACCTTTTCAACGATGTATCACATGTATTTTTATCATTAAAAACTACGTATGGGGGATGTTTAGGGGTTGAATAGGGCGAGAAGGAATTTTTTCAATAATTTTTCCGTAATATTGATGTAAGGACCTCTTCAATCATGTATCACATGTATTTTTATCATTAAAAACTACGTATGGGGGGTGTTTAGGGGTTGAATAGGGTGAGTAAGAATTTTTTCTATAATTTATTCCTAATCTATGCTTAGAGACCTTTTCAATGATGTATCACACGTATTTTTATCATTAAAAACTACGTATGGGGGATGTTTAGGGGTTGAATAGGGTGAGAAGGAATTTTTTCAATAATTTTTCCGTAATATTGATGTAAGGACCTCTTCAATCATGTATCACATGTATTTTTATCATTAAAAACTACGTATGGGGGGTGTTTAGGGGTTGAATAGGGTGAGTAAGAATTTTTTCTATAATTTATTCCTAATCTATGCTTAGAGACCTTTTCAATGAGCTACTGAACGCTCTGGTAAGTTGAATTTTTTAGCTAAGGGGTAGTTTGAAGATTGATAGGGGTATGTTGGAATTGTGGTGGGGTAGTTTTTTTGTCGATGTGATATAATATGTTTCCATGTTCAAGTTACTTTGAATGGCAAAATGTGTTGACCTGACAATATCTCCTGTCTGTAATGTTAGACTATAGAAGGTATGACATATTGCATTCTCACCGACGATATGTGTCGTCATTATATTGTCGAAAGAGACTGTCCATATAATATCTATGTCAGTGTTCCTGTGCTTAACACAGTTCGCTTTATTGGCGAATATCGAAGAAAATTTCGTTCTGAAATTATATGAGAGATGTCACTGCAATGTGCAATTAACAGATATCGCTCGCTATACTATTCTAGAATATTTTTCCGCGCGGCCAGAAATAGAATCCAGACCAGATGTTATAAAATTAGTTTGGTTTAAGAATATATGTCTACCCAAACAAAAATGATAATATTTGACAAATACGGGACATTTCGTGTGTGTTTATTATTTGTAATTAAGTGTGATAATTTATTAATGCGGTGTGTGGGCTTTTGGAATATGTGATAAATAATAATTAAAAAAATGTGAGTAAATTTGCAATTACCATTTTTTACACTTT